TAGGGGCTTGGATGGGCTGCTGTGGTCAGAGGCTCTTGCCTGATGAGGTCCTTTCCTTGCATCCAGCGGCCCATTGTATCTGGTTTCAGAGTTTCCTCACTTTTTCCTTGTGGTCTCCTGTTAATGTCTAAATTTGGCCCATCTGGCGGTAAAGCAGAGCCCCTTTTGAAGATGCATATGTGAGGGACCTCTTTGAAAGGATGTTTTTGTTAACTGCCTGATAATGTAGGTCAGAAGAGGGAAACACAAGGAGAGAGGAAGAGTGGGGAAGAAGATATCTGTCCTGGGAGTCAGGGCCCTGACTTCCATCCCCAGAGGTCTGAGGCTTCCTTTTGATCTGGGGCAAGTCATTGAACTTCTCTGGGAACCTCAGTGTCTTCACCTTTCTTTACTTAATAATCATTATCCAGCCGACCTCAGAGGGTTGTTTGATGATCAGAGGGGGATATTTCCGGTGACTCATCAAACAATTATTGAGCAAGCCCGTAAAATCTATACCCAGAGAGAACTGGCAGTCTCTCGGGAACAGTGCTGTATGTGGAGGTATCGTGGTATACGTAGTAAGTGGGGTAGAGAGAAGCACCAGTTCAGTGGCTGTATGAAGGGATGGAGAAGTCTCCAGAGCTGCTTGGGCTAGCTTGAAGGCTAAGTGTTTACAGAGCTTTGCAAATGGCACGGTGCCATATACTGTGTGGTTATGGGGATTAGAGCTCTTGAGTTCATTAGAACTACCTTCAAACCTGGCTCTGGTACTTCGGAGCTGTGCGATCCTGGGAAAGGTACTCAACCTACTCTGAGCCTCAGTTTTTCATTGGTAAAATGGGCATGATCAAATTGTTCTGAGGATTTAGTGATGTAAAATACTTAGTGGATATTATTTTAAATGAGAAGTATTGTTATTAAAGTTACCTTTTAGGCTGAAGAATTCTGTTTGGGTGCCTTGGGTTAGTGCTGCTCAAATATTGGGCATATGAATTATCTGAGGATCTTGCTAAAATACAGATTCTGATTCAAGAGGTCTGAGATAGAGCCTGAGATTCTGCTTATCTCACTAGCTCCTAAATTCTGTAGGTGTTGCTTGTTTGAGGACCAGACTTTGAGTACAAGGCCCTAGGCTGCTTCTCCCCAGGTAAAGTCCGAGGCCTTTGTGGGGGCTGAAGAGCACTGTGTTTGGGGAGGTGATGGGGAGAGTTCAGACCTCCTAGGTAGGTCTGGCCTAAGGCAGAAACTGCTGGGATTGGCTGCTGTCAAGTAAGGTGTTTCCTACAGGAGGTAAATGGTTTAACCCAATCTCTTTCAAGTGCCTTAGGACCAGTCCTCTGGAGAAAGCTCTTTGTGGCCAAATGGCCAAATGCCGCTTACTTCTCCTGCATGCTGGCTTTGGGATATAGAGATGAATAAGCAACTGAACCTACCATTGGGTGGTTGGGGTGATGTGGGGACAGTCACGTAAACATGTGATTATTACGTGGTGAGATAAACATTCTGTAGAGTTTGTGGGTGATGATGATGAGACTAAGAGGGTTGGAAAAGGAAGGAAAACTTCCTAGTAGTAATTAAATCCGAACCGGGTTTTGAAGATGATCACAGTGGTGGGTGGGGGAGGAGGGTAGAAGAGTATGGGGAATGGAATTCTAGGATTAAGGAATAGCATGTGCAAAGTTAGGGTGTCATGAAACAGCTTGTTGTGTTGAATGAAGAATTGTTTGGAGCATGGAATATCCTGGGAAGGGCTTGGTCAGGGAGGCAGAGCACAGTTCCTGAAGATGTATTAGTCAGGATAGGCTAAGCTCTGCTGCAATAACAAATCAACTTCATCATCCCAGTAGCTTAACGCAACAAAGGTTACATCACACTCATACTATGTGTCCCTCACAGGTCAGTGGGGTACCAAGATGACACAACTTTTCCCATCTTGCAGACACACCATTTGGGGAATGTGGTCTATGCAGTCATCCGCACAGGGGGAAATGGTGGAAGAGTTGCTCTCTTGCTGTTTTGTGCTTCAGTCTGGAACTGATGAATTGCTGCTGGCGCCCACAACCCATTAGCCAGAAGTCATTGTGAGGAGTCTGGGAAATGATGGGGGTTATGGATGGAAGGTTCAGAGACATCACTGTCTTTCCCACATATGCCTTGTTATGAGCCTTAAGCCTTACTTGGAAGGCCAGAGGTTCTCAAGGGAGAGTAATATGTGAATTTCTTTAAAGGAAAAATAATCTCATAGTTTCCTATTGGTGGCTTATATTATTTTTATTATAATGCAATTCAAATATGTAGTAGCATTCAATAGGTCTAATCTTAAATTTAGAGCTCTCGTAGGACTATAAAACCAAAACAAATATATAAGTGTAATATCAACACAGCTACAAATCAAGGAAATTCAGATTAACTTCAGGAATTTAAGGTGATGGATGAAGTTATTTTTGCTAAAACTTAATCACTGTTTTTGATTCTATAAACGATTGTTCAGGTTCTTATGAATTTAGTATGCTAAGTGCCATATCACATGAGTTGTATGATGGCTCAATTCTCTCATCAGTTTCTTCTCTCTTTATTGTCTGGTTTGTTATTTCTCATTAGCCTGTGCCAGTTAAAATAATATTTCTTGTCGCCAACTACATCATCAATGTAAGAATACATACGGTGAAATGATGTGGCGGCACTTGGTCATCACATGGTCATTCAGAATATGTTTGCTGATTTTCAAATGAAATGATATTCTTAAAAAAGATGATCACAAAAACGAAAGCACAAAGTTAAACAGCAGATAATTTTGGAGAACATCTGAGCCCCCTAGAATATGTCTGAAGATTCCCTAGAACTTGAGAAACAGATAGAAAACTACCAGAGTGTTTCGCGAAGGGGGAGAGATGACCAGCTTTATGATTTAGAGACAGTACTTTGTCCAGGTGTGTAGGTAAGGGAGGTGCAGGGAGGAAGGCCTGAGCCAGATGGGTTAGGTCAGATGTGATGAGGGTGGGTGGTTGGCGGTAAGTAGTTAAGGGAATAGAGAGGAGGTGCCAGATTTGAAATGCACTTTGGAGGTGGAATGCACAGGACTTGGAGATTGTAGGAGGTGAGGGGAGGGAAGAGGAGTCAGAGATGAGTTTGGAGCAGTTGATGGTGCCACTGACCAGGCTGACGACCACACGTGTCCACGAAAAGAACAGAAGAGCTCAAGGTCAGAGCTGTGTTCAGCCATATTCATCATCCCATCTTTTCTGATGAACTTGAGCTTTCCTGAACGAATTTCTGAGGAACTACAGCATCTAGTGCATTTAATTAGTGATCATTTGGATGATATGAGTGGCTTCGTTAGCCTTTCTATCGTGCCTGCTGCTTATGACCCATCGGAGGGGGGTTCTGGCAACATTTTCCCTAATTAAGCACACACTTTTTTTGTCTTCTATATGTTTGAAGAAAATGAAAAAAATTGAGAAAATTGTGGATGGTTCTGAGCTAGAAACTGTTGATACCATATGATGTGATTAGCCATCTGCCTTCAGGTTCTGAGAGTGCTAACAATCAACTTTCCACCTTGGGTTTTTTGGACAGAGATGCTCAAAATTCTCTGAGGAAAGAGCAGACTTGGTACAAGTTAAATGATCTCTAGGTAATTACGTAATGAGGAATGTGGAAACTCTGTACTTTAGGGAGGTGGAGGACAAAGAACACGAGGCCACCCAAACAGACAAACAAAAATGTCATGAACTAGAAACAAATCCTTGTTGTCGCTAGAGTGAAATCTTGTCTTAATTAAAGTTTTCATCATTAAATAATTTAAAATGTAACTTGGTGTTTCCTATTTGTATGAATTGTTAACCTTCCAGCAGGTGGAAGCTGCATGAGCAAGCTGCTAGTAGTGGCTTTGACCCCACTTGTTCTCACTCATGACAAACTTTTTCATGTCTTGTGGTCTTGGTATAGGCATCACCTTCATGGCAGAACCTCCGAGGATCTCCAGGGAGATGTGTAGCATCCTCAGGCTGTATCTTTTTGGAACTTGGGATAAATAATTTGTAAGCAAGTGTTACCTGTCATCCCCAGAGACCACATACTACTTGAGGACAGGCACTATGTCTTTTCATCTTGGAATCCCCCCAAACTATTGGAGCATTTTCCCATCTCCACACCCATGAGCTGGAGATGGACTCAGGGCACCCTTCAAATAGCATCGTTGGGCCGTAGGGCTGGTTGGAGGAGCAGATTTCCCACTATGTCTTTTCATCTTGGAATCCCCCCAAACTAGTGGAGCATTTTCCCTAATAGCCATCTCCACACCCATGAGCTAGTCCAGGGCACCATTTAAGTAGCATCTTTGGGCTGTAGGGCTGGTTGGAGGAGCAGATTTCTCAGCAATAATAGCCTTGATTTTAGAGTATCTTTCAGAAATAGATTGGATGAAGCTGGTTGTTCAATTGAGTTCAAATGCTGTGTTGGTTTCAGATTGGTTGCAACCAGAATCCTCTGGAGCTTGCATCTCTACATATGTGACAGAGGTAGTCGGTACTCCCCGATATCACATGCTGCCTTTCTTTAGCAGATGCTATCATTTCTTGTCCATAGTCGTTGTTCTGATGGTTTCCTCATAATCCACTGCAACCCTGTTTGAGGGCTTTCTCTGAGTGCAGGAGCATGGTTGGCGCATTCCTGGGGAAAACCAGAGTGCCGGGCAGCCACCAGGATGATGAAGTTGATTTGTTACTGCAGCAGAGCTTAGCCTATCCTGACTAATACATCTTCAAAAACTGAGCTCTGCCTCCCTGACCAAGCCCTTCCCAAGACACTCCATGCTCCAAACAACTCTTCATTTGAGGACCTGAACACACCAATCTATTTCATGATGCCCTTTGCACATGCTGTTTCTTAATCCCAGCAGCAGCCTTCAACCACTAATGGTGGGGAACAGGTGGATAAATATCATAGTTTCCTTGACCCTCTGCAATACAACCCTTGGGCATGTTATACCCAGTCTC